ACACACACACACACACACACACACACACACACACCACATATATACCACACATACACACATACCACACATATACACATACCATACATACATACACTCACTACACATACCCCACACACAGACATACACACCACATACACACACACACACCACACATATGCACATACCACACATACCATACATACACAAATCACACATACATACACATCATACATACACACGCAGCACATACACATATACACACACCACACATACACATATACACACACCACACATACACATACACCACTCATATACACATACCACACATACACACACTCACCACACATACACCATACACAGACATATATACCACATACACACCACACATACACATATACCACACTTACACTCACCACATACACACACACACACACACACACACACACACACACACACACACACCAGCATGCTCTCTTCCATCTAAAAGTAATCATGGACCCAAACTGACTTTTCTTGCAGCCACAACAGAGAGGCCTAAAGGGATAGTAAATGCACAGTAACTTTTCCAGAATCAAAACTGTCCCATTTCTCCAGTCTCTGATCTAACAGAATTACGTTAAAGATGTGCTTCAGGTTTGGGGATGGAGCTCAGTGGTGAAGTGCTTGTCAGTCATGTACAGGGAACATGGGAATTGTCTCAGGTTGATTTAATTGCATTGGGAAGAGAGCCAAAAAACCTGCTTATTATATAGTGTGGCAGAAATTAAACAAGAACTATTCTCTTCCTACTGACACCTTTTTCCGACTCTTGAAGATCTTTTTCTTTTAGTTTTTCCTTTTGTTTGCCAACCTTAACTTGTACAAGGACTAGATAACATTAGCATCTATGAGAAAAAGACTAGGTACAGTCAGTAAGTAAGAAGTGACCACTGGGGAGGGGAGAAGTGGGGAGGAGGGTTGGGGAATGCCTTGCTGTCTCCATAGCTGCGCTTTGCCATCATGTGTCCTGCCATATTTAAGAGGCATGAGCAGAAAAATTATATTATAACATACAATAGTATGTTAACAATATATTTTAAAATATTAATACCATAACAATGGACTGAATTTGGGTGACTTCGATTACTGTGTTCCTTCTTCAGTTATAGAAGAAATGGTATCTGAAACACAGAAAATACAGAAAGCTCATAAATGTAGAATTATCTACTGTTCTGGTATCGATGTGGTAACAAACTTAGACAGGGAATGTCTAATTAGTTGTTATATGTCTATATGTAAATTATTTATGATATGGCCTTATGTTACTAATATGACCTGCACACTGGAGTTTCTGCGGACTCCTCAGAAATTATCTTTAAGTTCTATTTTAGACCATCTGTTCTTTGATTTTTGATAACCTTTGAACCACACTACCAAAACTTTGAGGCTTTTTATTCTAGAAACTGGGGCTCTTTCTCTAACATCAATAAACTATGTACAATAAGAACAATTATCAGGTAAGAATTACATTCACAATGTCCAGTCTATTTGTATTTGGCAACTTTGAAGAAAGTACTCTATTATCTATCCTGTCCTATCTTGGTGAGTCCAAAGCTTTGTACCTAAATCACTTTCTATCATAACTTGTATTACCAACCTAAAAATATCTTTTTGGACCTTAAAACATTTTCTTAGATAAACACCTTAAGCTTTTATGTCTCTCAACCTGTATAAACATTACATCTGCTCTGTGAGTCTCTTTTCTGAATTTGGTAACAAGGGAACTGTAAGACCATAACTGTCTTCAACCCCATCAGAGACCCAAGAAGGATAAATGTTACCTGAGTAAACAGGAAGTGCAGAGCAAGCGACTTCCAAAACTATAGAAACGACAGAGACAGCTGGCTGCCTGGACAGTCACCCAAGGCTCCTCTGCAACATTGGAGCATCCATCTTTGGCCTGCAGGCCTAGAGTATCTGACAGACTTTTCTGTAAAGCAGAGATTTTGAAGGCCTGGCCTACCTTGTCGTGGCAAAGTCCAGCAGTCGCCTTTGGTGTCCTATTTGTCAAATTTGTACAGCATACTGTCTGTCAGCAGTTGAGGCAAGGGCAGTGTCTTGCCAGTTGGCTAGCTTTGCCACATTTGAAGTAAACTCCATATAGAGTTTCAATGCCCATCATATTCGTTGAAGTAGACTAGTGCTAGCAGGAGCAGACACTTCTTACTGTCAGGAAAAGCCTTATGTTATTAAAACGTCTTAAGTGCCATATTCTGTAGATCTCTGAAGTATTTGAAGACCACCTAGCTATCAAAAATATATCTCAGCCAGGCGGTGCTGGCGCACGCCTTTAATCCCAGCACTCGGGAGGCAGAGCCAGGCGGATCTCTGGTAGTTTGAGGCCAGCCTGGACTACCAAATGAGTTCCAGGAAAGGTTACACAGAGAAACCCTGTCTTGAAACCACCACCCCCCAAAAAAGAAACAAAAATATATCTCTGTTTAACCTTGAAAACATAACATAAGGCTAAATAAAGCTTGTTTCTGTCTACATCTAAACCCTTACTACAAGTTTAATTATTGTAGGTGACTAACTACTAACTTGCGTTTCTTAATTTTCCTAAACAGTTTGTAATGGTAGCTTTCAAGGACCAGAACTTTACATTTTTAAATGAGTTGCATAGATACAATACCTTAAACAAGAGTAGAAACATATATACAGTTTGTTGTAACAAAAATAACCTTAAATTTGTATCAATATACAAAAATCTATACCAATGTAAAATATTTGAGACTTGTACTATGGGATAATGCTTTTGTACCCTGGTTTAATAAAATGCTGATTGGCCAGTAGCCAGGCAGGAACTATAGGTGGGATAAGTAGACAAGGAGAATTCTGGGAAGTGAAAGAGTTAGGAGACGCTATCCACCATCTGGGAAGCCACATGTAATGGCACACAGGTAAAGCCATGGAAAACGTGACAACATATAAATTAACAAAAGTGGGCTAAGTTTAAGTGTAAGAGCTAGTCAGTAGGAAGCCAGAGCTAATGGCTGAGCAGTTTTAATTAATATAAGCTTCTGAGTGATTATTTTATAAGCAGGCCACAGGACTGCAGGGCGGGGGGAGGTTGGCAGGACCCAGAGAAAACTTCCAACTACAGACTCATAGTTCTTTTTAGTTTAAATGTAGATTCAATAATCTACCTTTTACCCTCTCATTCTTATATCCCCCTTTTTTCTTTTCATCCCACATTCCCCCTCTTTCTCCAACATTAGATAGGAGAGAGAAAGACTGAGCAAAGAAAAAGAAAGAGATCCCCGAATCTAATCTCTTTAGTTTTTTTCCCTGACTATGACCAGTAACAACTTGCAACCAACCCCCCTCAACAATGACAAACATCCATAACCCACTAAACAACCAAAATCTACCCACCCCACCACTTGGGAATGGGGGCATAGTGCCTTAAAATGCTTTCTGGGGATGATGGCATCTTTAGGAGATCCTGAGAAAATTAGAATAATGGCCAAGCCCTTATTCTAGCTAGCTGTATCATTTGTTGTCCAGTCTCTGTGTGCTGAGAAAGTGCAGGGCTTAACTGAAGTCCTGGCTGGAGTAGTCTGTGTGAGGCTGGACCATCTTAGGTAGCCATTTTGATGTTTTCCTGGATGCAGTTTTCCAAGAAAATGCAACAAAGGTATTCTGGGAGGCTGGATCACCTGGGCTACTTGTCTTGTCTTCAGTGGTGTCTGGTCCTTTTGTTCTGAAAACACACAAATTTTTAAAGGTAACATAAGTATCTGCATTAACCCAAGGATGGAACGTATAGTGTGCACAAGTCAGCTAAAGATGATTCTCTGTTCTATCTTTAAGCAGGCAAACAGCATCTGTCAACTTTATCAGTCTGTTTGGACTGCATAACCAAACGGTCATGAGGCCTCTGTAGCCAACAAGATTTATTATGTCTCGTCCAACTCAGAGCTGTTCCCAGCATACATGTCACCTGTCCTGTACCTTTTCTTGGTTTCTCCCTTCAGGTCTATAGCCAAGATTTTCAGGAGGTCTCCCCAGGTCAAATCTGATCCTTACTGATTTTGAAGAAATCCATGGCTTTTCGTTTCCTACAGAAACTAAAGCATAACCTCTCACCCAACACAACACATTTCCTGACTTCCATTCCGAAGTTAAGACATCCTTAAAATACATAGGATGGTTTAATTCAGCAGGGTTTTTCCCCACAATCCAATGTCTCTCAGCAGCTGTTGTTTTTTCTCATTAGCATTTTAAAATTTTTAAGTTCATGAAGCACTATATAGGGTCCAAACATCCTGTGTTATGGTATTTCCTCTCCTTACATGAAAGTAATATTCTTTTTATATTACTTTCCTTTCTCTATAAGAACTTCACTTTATTATTTTCAAACTATTTTTATGACTGTATATACCCATTTTCTTTTCTTTCTTCAGCACCTAAGCACATTTTCAAGCATACTGTACCTGTTCAGAGAGTTTCTTGGTCTGGAACCTGGCTTTTATGTACCTACAGTCAGTTATGACCGGGTGAGCCAAGCCTTAAAGAGGCAGACCACCTCTGAGTATCTGTACCTAGGTAGCAGGTGTGTCTACCTAGTGTCTTGCCAGCTGCTCACAGGCCTTACTCAAGTGTTTGGCTACACATTAGGGCCTCTTAAAAGAGCCTCACCTCCGTATGCTTGGAATTTTCTCAGCTTTCTCATGTCCTGTGCTTAGATATACATGCCTCTACATTAGACACCAAATGTTTGTTGCAAGTCTTTCTTTGGACTGCCAGCTCCTGAGCAATGACATGGAGACTTTTCATTAATTATGAAAACTTGGTCTTAGCTTAGACTTGTTCCCAACTAGTTCCTAAAACTTATTTTAACCCATTTATATTAATTTACATTCTGAGACATGACGGGTTACTTCTCCTCAGTACCATACATCTAACTTCCTCTTTGGTTGGCTGGCAAATCTCCCGTACCTCAAGTTCTTTCCCAGAGTTTTTATCTCTCCCTGGAAGTCCTGCCTATCATAACCAATCAAGCAGATGAGAAAGGACAGAGACACATCTTCACACAGTGTACAAGAAGATTATCCCAACACCACATTGCTTAACCAATATACAGATAGATTATACACTTGGATTATGATTTTTAAATTTTGTGGTATTGCAAATGCATGTCTATGCTTTTTTTTAGAATTTTCCTTTTTTATTAAGAATTTTTTTATTCATTTTATATACCAATCAAAGATCCCCCTCTTCCCTCCTCCTGCCTCTGCAGCCTCCCCCTCCCAACTCTAAAAATATTCTTAACTACATGTATGTACTTGTATAAAACCCAATTCGAGTGGACATGGCATGTCTATGCTTTTGTCTGGGCTTTGCTTCCCATACAGTCAGTATTCATTAAATTATATGGCATAGTCAGCATTTTATTATAAAATGGATTTTCTCTGTAATGAGTTTGTCTAACTGTAGGTTAAAATTAGTACTCTGTGCTTTAAGGAAGAGGGCGCTAAGCTGACTGGTAGGCTCAGAGTGTGAAATCCACTTTTAGGTTATATTTTCGATGGTTTAATAGACTATCACTGGCTGTAAATGGGAGGGCATTTGAAGGGCCTCAGAGAACATGCTTGAGGGAAACGGGTACACAGATACTCATGACAAAAAGACTCTGGGTTAGATTGCTTCATATGCAAAACAGTGCCAGGGTGACAAGAATTTTTACTTGACTCAACCACTCTGTGCAAAAATAGCAACAAGAACAACAAAAAACAAAACCCCGTGGCCAGCTCTATGACAAAGAAATTGCATCCCTTGGAACCAAATGTGATTTTTAAAATAAAAAATGTGTGGGTTGCACAAGCTATTAGTGATAATAAGGCATGAATGGTTTTCAAAATGTGTTACAGAAGGCTGAAAGAAAGCAGAGGGCCTCCTGTTTGCATCAGAAGACAGAGAAACTCAAATCATCAAAAGCCGTCACCACAAAGCTTCCATCAGTCAGTCTGGGGGGGAGTACCTGAAACCTGGGGAGTCTCTCTGGCTCCAGTGTGTGGGTGGACATGGAGAGCCCAAGTGGACTAGAGTAGCCCAATCTCAATAGACTTAAACAGGACTCAGCACACATCTCCTCTGGCCATTCCTTGTGTTGAGAAGTAGCTACTGGAAATAAAGCCCACACTGAGCAGGAAAATGGTTTAGGAGCAGAGACATAAAGAAGCTAGGTAGATGTGGAAGAAGAAAAAGGGAGCCAGGACACATCTGAAAATAAGGCCAGGGAGGAGTTTCCTTTAGCCATGGGGCTACATTTCAAGGCCCTTGCTCAATCCATGAGCAACACCAAAGTCTTGATGTACCTTGTTGTCTTCCTGTATGCATACCAATGATAAAGTTGCCCAGAAACCTAGGATTAGTACCTTGTCCAGTCGTTATTAGAGAGGCTTCCTCCGGCAGCAGATGGGATCCTGTGCAGAGACTCACAGCCAAACATTATGCAGACAGAGTCTAAACTGGAGGTCTCCTTTGGGTCCCTCCCCTAGGAGATTGGGAACCCCACAGAAGAGGGGGGGGAACGATTGTTGTGGTCAAAAGACATGGAGGACACCAGGAGGAATTGGCCCATCAAATTAACTAAGCAGAGCTCACCTGAGCTCACAGAGCTGAAGCAGCAAGTTCCTTCTGCATATATGTTATGGCTGTTATCTGAGTGTTTTTGTGGAACTCCTAACTGTGGGAGTGGGTGTGTCTCTGACTCTTTTGCCTGCTCTTGGGACTCTTTTCTATTGGTTTGCCTTGTCCAGCCTCTATATGCAGGGTTTTGCCTTGTATCTTGTTTTGTCCTGTTTGACTGTCTTCTCTTGGAGGCCTGCTCTTTCTGAAGAGGAAACAGAGGGGCAGTGGAACTAGGGGAGAGGTGAGGTTAGAGGGAGGGTGGCTGGAAAGAGTAGAGGGAGGGGAACTGTGCTCAGGATGTATTGTATGAGAGAATAATCTATTTTCAATAAAAATGAATAAATAAAAAAATTTAAAAGGAAACAATAAAAAAAGCTGAGCCCATGAGCTAAACATAGTAAAAGGTTAATGATAGAGCAGAATGCAACATTGTATCCATATTTATTTATCTCCTTTCTCCCCTGTGATGAGGCAAGTAGCATGTACAGTATAAATAACCTATAACCTATAGTAAAGGATGACTCATGTCACTGACTGGATGGAGCCAGACAACACAAGGGGTTATTTTTAATTATAGCATTTAGAATAATACCTAATTTTAAACCTAGGAAGTTTATTTTGAGACTTTTCCATTTAATGTTTATGGCCCATGTTTGACTGTGGGTAATGAATTAACAGAAAAGGAATCACAGATACAGGGAGACTACTGTGTTAGTAAACACATCCTAACAAAAGGAGAAAGGGGAGCTGTAGATCTCAGAGCGATCTGTAGCTCAGCATCTCTCACGCCATGGAAGAAGGACAGTGGTGGGTGCAGAAACAGAGCTGCTGTAGATCTGTGTGGACAGCCATCCTGTCCGTACAGAAGCGTGTAACAGGCATATGTTTAAAATTGCAGCTTATGACTCCAATGTTAAATTCCCTTTAGTCCACGTGTTTTCAAAAATTAATTTTCAGAATGCCTAATGCAAAGTCAAATCTGCCATGTCAAGTTACCATACAGGCAGTAAACTTTTCTCTGCCTGAAATAATAATATCTACTAACTTTTCTAGGCAGACAAGGGTCTGTAAAATATGCTGTTGTTTATCTCATGAAGGCGAGTAAAGCGCACAGATAGAAACTAATGTTATATAGCAGTAAATTAATATATTAATGGAAGGATGTCACAGCCTTTAAAAATAAAACTGTGCCCCCAGGCAGAGGAAGGAGCCAGAATAAAGGAGAGAGAGATAAGCACAAGATTCATCTTGTGAATTTGACTTTAGAGCCGCATAAAACTTCACATCATCCTAAAGCAAAAATAAATTCCAAGCAGTCTGTAAACATCAACAGTAAAGCGAGACAACTGTGCCTGTCTTCCAGTAGGTGGCACAGGAGACTTCACATCACAGGTGTCATGCACATCCTGAGCTGAATGTTATCCTTAAGTCAAACACAACTGCAAGGAATTGTGAGCTTACTGTTGTGATCATCATGCCCCTTGGGGTGTCTCCGGATTTAGTCTCATGGTGTGTGTGTGTGTGTGTGTGTGTGTGTGTGTGTGTGTGTGTGTGTGTAACAGATAAAGGAAGTGAGTAAATTGTCTTCATTGGAAAACTGAAATTTGATAAAAAGAAAAGAGCATATAGTTTAAAAAAAAATGTTTAAACAGGAAGTATCCTGAATTCATGAAGGTTGTTTTATTCAATAAGTGTTTCCTATTTTTTGGTTCTCAAAAAGATTAAGAAGGTGATTAAATTCTCACAAGGTGATTAAATTCTTTCTCACCATGAGACCTCGATCTCTGCCCAGTGCCTTCCCTCTCAGGCTTGACAAATATTCCTTGAAGAGTGGTGGACTGCCGGTCTGTGGAAAGGAACCGGAGTCTGGGGTAGCTAACATAGGCAACCTGGTACTGAACTCTCAGGGGCAGGAGATGGGAAATTTTGAAAATAACAAATAGCACAACTGCAATAGATCAGAGCCCAATAAATGTCTTAAAATTTATTAATCTCTAATAATACTGTAAAAATAAAATACTGTTACTGTGCTTGGAAAAGTTACCAGGAAATAAAAATTCTTTTCAA